GTGAGGTTTAACTCAGTGATGGCTCCACGCCATGATGAGTTCTCGACTCCATCCACGGATAGTCCTTTCCTACTCGATCCCTCTCACCCTGCCCAAATGCTAGGTTGGCTCTGATACCAAATGTCACGACCCGGGTCTGATGAGCCAACTGGCCAATAACTCCATTTTGGTCCTTCAACCACGGACCAAAATGCTTAAGCGGGAGTTAACGTAGTACACTCATCAAACCCATATAAGCCAATCATACACATTGCCCACTTCCGATATGGGACTAATGGGATGTTACACTTTATAAGTTGGAAAAGCCCAGACTCTTAACTTTCCAACCGATGAGAAGATTTAAAGGGAGAGTTAATTCAACTTTTCTTTATGATCAAGGAATGCATTAAAGAGTTTAGTTATCAACTGCTAAGCAATAAATTTCGTAGTTCCCTATGCATGGAGGGTTGTTTTATGCACTAGTTCTTATTTTGGTGTTTTAAAGTTAGAAACAGTTTAGAATCTGATGATATTTATAGAAACTCTTTGAGTTCTCTCTTAACTCTGTATCTCTTTAGTTTACCATAGAGTGGTGGGTTTCATCTCTGTATCTCTTAGACATTTCCTTGAGTGGTGAGTCATTTATTTTTAGTTCTGTATCCTTGTTTAGTATCCTTGGGTTGGTGAATTTTCTATACCCCTTTGTGATTTTAAATTCGGTAGTGAGCTATTTATTGATTTTATGAAAGTATTATCTTGAGTTTGTTTCTTTTCAATCCAAAATATATATTCCAGCAAATACAACTATCAGTCTTTTAAATTCTATTCCTCTTTATCCCGGTATCACTAATACTATTAGTATTAGCGATATGAGGAGATACAAGAGATTATAGAAAACAAACTAGAACCTATAAATAAGGATTTGAATTGCTCTTAATTTAATAAGGATATTGTTTATTGTAAAACTCAATGATATCAAAAGATTCATGTGGTCAACTCTAACTATAAATAGTTAGACATTACAACTTGTTATTATTGTTTTTCTGGTACGATTTCATCATCCACATATAGGACATGAGGAGATGTGAAGCATCCTTACTAACTAAGAGTAATTTCATGAGTTAGAGTCAATATGTTGTTTTCCCTTTTTTTCCTAAATCATCATATATGTATATTTTCCTTTATACTAGTCGAAGTTTAATCCCATTTTTTGTATATAAGTTAAAATTAGAAGATTTTAGTAGTATTCCTAACCTAGTTAAATTCTTTAGTTTCTTTTGAAATCATTACACGTATTTGTTTATAGTTACCAATTTATCCAAGAAGTTCTGTTGTTATCATGGTAGATATGAAGGTTATATATGACATCATTATGAGACATCACATGATTGAATTCATCATTAATTGATCAAAGCAAGGATTTTAATTTCGAATAATACTGCTTGTACCGGGTGGTATGTACTGGTCCGCCAGCACACCGGTATGCAGAGTGCCCGTTACCAGGCGATATCGTCGATTGGGGTTGTTTCCGCCCCGTTACCATCCTAAATCGGTCGTCACCGCTTGCTACCAGGTGGTATTAGCTAAGGGAGAAGAAAGAAGAGGGAGAAGAAGAGGAGAACTTGGAGATCCGGCGTCGCTCTCCCTCCTCGTCTAAGGCGACGAGGCCTCGACATCGTCGGCGACTTCTCATTTGCGTGGGGAGAAGAATCCTCGGCGACGTCGTGGGGAGAAGAAACCGAGCGTCGTCGAGGTGACGTTTCTTCTCCCCACGCAGGCAGAAGAAACGAGGCGACGGGACGACAACGTCATCTCATCGCCCTTTTTTTGCGTAGGGAGAAGGAAACGGTTTCTTCTTTCCACCTTCTCTCCGCGTGGGCAGAAAAGAGGCGACGTCACCTCGTTTTTCTTCTCGCGTGGGGAGAAGGCGACGTTGCCTCGTTTTTCTGCCTGCGTGGGGAGAACCCGAGGTTTCTTCTCCCAAAGCGCCAAAATGGGCGACGAGATAGTCGCCCCTTTTTTTTTACTTATATATATATATATATATATATATATACCGAGCGGTATATTGAAATGTACCGTACCGAGCGAATCTTGAAACTTCGGTACGGTATAAAATTTCAATCCTTGGATCAAAGATTTGTCAATTGTTTTAGTCGGTGAAATTACGTACTGGAAGCATTTGATGAAGGAGCTCCTATGTTTATTTTAGTTTTAATATTTTATTGGTTTCTTATTTTATATGTAATAAGTTACCACATGACAACATCTCATGTATTTCTATGTCATCTACATTGATTATGGGGATAAGAAAGGAATTTAAGTCTAAAGTGGAAGATAATTGGGAAGATATACTCAATAGAAGATGGTTTACAATAGAACTAATCCCCAATTAAAGATCTTGCTAATAAAGAAAGTTATCTCTTGGAGTAAAATGGGAGTGAAGATTTTTCAAAAAATGGTAGATGTGATGATTGATCTTATTGCTCCTTAACTTTATAAAACAATTTTTTGAGTGTATGAGATCATTTTCTTTCCTCCAATGATTATTCATTATGAGATTTAAGGAGTTACAAGGTCTCGTTTCTTGAGAGTCATGCTTGTAACTAAAGTGATTTTGGTATTTCAATTTCTTTACTTCTGTAAATTAACTCTTTTTTGTGGCAAAGATTTTGATTCAGTCCATCGCCAATTTTGACAATTTGTCGGACTGATACAGTTCCAGGATATTTAGTGGTCTACTGACATAAACTGCTTGGTATTGATGGATAAAATAATAAAAAAGAATTGCCTACCAGTACTAGTACTTCATCTGACTAAATTATGTGCTAGCTGCCTGTACTCGCTGGTATTTACTAGTCCAAGAAAGGTTCAGTATCAGACCTATGGTTTTGTACTCGTAGGCAAGGTTCGCAATTTCGTATTGTATCAGAGTATCGAACCTAGCTCGGTATGGTACGATACTAGTATACCGAGCGGTACACTTTGGCATACCACTCGGTGTATATATATATTATAATAATAATAATAATAATAATAATAATAATAATAATAATAATAATAATAATAATAATAAAGTTAAAAAAAAAGGGCGATGTCGCCTCGTTTCTTCTCCCCACGTGGGGAGAAGAAACCTCATTTTCTTCTCCCCATGAAGCCTTGGCGATCATCGAGGCTTCTTCTACCTGCGCGGATGAGGAGAAGTCTGACGACGCCGAGGAGGTGACATCTCATCTGCGGCGTCCGATGACTCGAGATTGTTGAGGGGGAGCGGCACTAGATCTTGAGGTTCTCCCTTTTCTTCTTCCTCTTCTTCCTTCTCCCTCAGCTAATACCGCCCGTAACGGGCGGCGACGGTCAAAATTGACCGTCATCGATCGATTTCACATGGTAACGGGACGGAAACAACCCCAATCGACGGTATCGCCCGGTAGCGGGCGGTCCGCATACCGGTTTGTTGGTGGCCTAGTACATACCACCCAATACGGGCGGTATCATTCGAAATTAAAAACGTAGCTTGTAGGTATTACTTTTTATTTCTTTTTGGGCTGGAACTGGGTGGTATGAATCATTGTAGGTACTAGATCGACATTCAAAACACTGGTCTTATATACTATGGATTAACTTATTCATATCATATCCTTTTATGTGAACTAAAAATCATTCTTTGATTTTTTAGGTTCTTATTTCAAGAGCATGAACCTTGACATAAAGTTGTTTTTGACAAGATTGAGTTATACAAAAAACCTTTTTGCTTAGGGGATAAAATTGCATACATTGACTCTCCGTATTCCCCACATTGGTAGGAGCACCACGCACTGTCTTTCTTTTGTTATTTCATCTATTGTCTACATTACACACTCTTATAATATGGTTATGTTGCTATTTCTTTTGACTTATAAACCATTTTCTCTTAAATCTTTGTGGACAGTTATGCTTATAACATTTACTACATTCTTATATTTTTTCTCGTCCTATCTACTAAAAGGTAACGATTTGCCAGATTAGCTGATCCAGGTTAAGATAGATGACTCCCTACTTGGTTCCAGTCAATTTTTCTGCTTTGTCACTGGAATTGGTTGATTTAGGCAAGAATTGGCCAACTTCAGCTGCTCTCTCTCCCTTGGAGGAACACGAAGAACAGAAGGAGAACGATGGAAGGCAGTGGGTGCTGCAACTGTCACCATGACTGCCATTGGCTTTCCTTTCCTGCATTTGTTGGAGGGGGAGGAGAAAAGGAGAAAAAAGTTTATTGTTGTTGCCACCACTTTATTTGCATTTCACCATATCCACTAGACTGTTTTGTTCTCACCATCCACAACTGTTGTTTCTGTCATCAACATCTGTCAAGAGAGAAAGTAGAGGGCAAAGAGGAAAGAGACGAAGATGGGATAGAGGCAAGAGGGGAAAGGATCTCATGTATAGCAAGCACCTCTAAGGTCATGTCATAATTTTATTATATACATAAACTAAATCAGTTTACTCGCTGACCATTTAAAACTCAATTAAAGCCTATGGAGGTTCCTCATGGGCCCCATAAAAGGTTTCTAGTGAATACGTTTGTGAGGCTGTAAGATAGAAAAGGGCCACATTAGTATTGCTCTTATTAGAAAGATTAGGGTGAATTTGTGGATAGTTTTCTGAGATATTAACACCTTTTTTGTTTGCTTATCTGCATGGCTGATGGTTCATTACCTGCTTGCACTGCTGCACCTAGAATTCTGTACGTATGCTACTGTATGCAATTAGGCTTTTGCAAATTCATGCGCTTTATTCATGATTGGAAGAATTTTTGAATTTTAATATAAGCAGGATTTTAAAGAATCTAGCTGCTTTGGAACTTTTGTTTATTCTAGCATTGCGCTCTTTTGCCAAGTAGAAAAGTCATATATTGAGTAGAACTTTGTTTCATGTTGATGACTCTTTTTACTCCTGATAAATACTTATTAAGTATGCTGACTTTCAGAATAATGTCTATCAGTGATTTTTTTATGATATAAAAAAACAATTGCTTTGTTTAGGTTGGAGGAAAATCTTCAGATTTAGGGGAGCTCTTTTCTTATGCCGATGTCAATTATTTAGGAAAGCAAAGAATGAGAGAGAATGCGGGGGCTGATTCAGACTCTTCAGATATGACACCAAGCATGCAGGAGGCCTTGCATCGTTCAAACATGGATATGAGGTATTGTTTAATAATAACTAGGTTATATAATTGTTGTTGATGGTTGTGTCCTTACATATGTTTTTGTCCTAGTGTCCTTTCTCAATGTTGGACAATCTGTTGCGCTTCTGATTGTGATCTGGTGGATTTTAATGATGTTATTTTGTCAACATATATGAGTATTAGTGTCTCACATTCGTTCTTTCACATGGATAGCTACCTCGAGTATTTGGAAGTTAGTTGTATTGTCTTTCTTGTGTCAATTCTTGCATGTTTGAATCTGTTGGGGATTAATATCTTTAATTAGTGCTTCTTTTAGTTCCAGCAAGAATTGCATCTAAGTGACAAGTTAAAGGAAAAAAGAATGAATTAATTTTTGGAAAAGAGTAAATAATTGCCAAGATATATCTTAAAGTGGCTTACAATGTCTTATATTCAGGCTAATTCGTAGAGCCAAATTCCTAGATTCATTGGGTTAAGAATAAAAAATAACTAATAATGTAAAATTTTGTTTATAATACTGTTCTATCTTGTTTTAACCTTTGTTATGGGGTTTTTTGGGATCCTAATAGTAGACAGCCCCCTAGAGCTTATGTGACCATGATAGGGTCTAGGCCTCAATTTGAAGCACAACATGAGTTTGGATCATTGAACAAGATCTCAACCTATCTGAGGCAGAATAATAGTTGGTAACTCTTCCTGCTTTGTAATGGGGTTCCGATCAATGATTTAAAAAGGCGCTTGAGCGCTCGCCTAGGTGCTCGTGCAAGCAAGGCAAGGCCTGAGTGCCTCGTTTAAGGGCCAGGCGACGCGCTTCAAAGAGGCGCAGCCTTGAAGCGCGTCGCTTGGGCATTCGCTTGAGCCCAGGCATCGGGTGCTTTGGGTGAGCGCTCGGGTGATATGGGCGACTAAATTAGACTTTTAAGTCTGGTTCAATTAAATTTGAACCAATGCATGTTGTTATATTAGTGCGCGACCCTGAATCCCAACACTACGCATGCTTCTATCATTGTTTCCGCCGTCGAAGATTTCTCCCTCTATGTTCGCCGCTGATGATTTCTCCCTTTGCCTTCGCCGTCGACGGTTTCTCCCGTTGCCTCCGAGTCTTCCTCTATTGCTGATCGAGTCTCCTCAGCTTCCGTTGTTGTCTGCTGCTGCTGCTGTCCACTACTTGTTGTTGTTCGCGACACGACTCCGTTGCCGTCGCTGTTGTCCGCTGCCTCCTATTGTCCGCGACTTCGTAGCTTTTGCTATTGTCTGTTGCCTCCTGGTATCTATCCGCGACTCTATTGCCTCGTGCTATTTGTCCGCAACTCTATTGCCTCCTACTATCCGCCACTTAGCTTCTCACCGCAACTTCTCATTATCGGTCTCTACTCTTCCCTACTACTGTTAACAATATGTTAACAGTAGATTATTAATTAATGTATAAAATAATCTTTATTTATTAGATTAATAATATACTATTTAGATTTTAATACTACTAATCTTTATTTATTTGAAATTATTATTAGGGTTTCAGGATCAATGACAAGTATATAAAGCAATTCAATAGATTCTTCAACACATTGTATTGATTTAATATTAGAGGATATTGGAAAGATCCCTGAAATCAAGAAAACTTTAGAAAGGGCAATATTTGTTGTTGGATTTCTTTATAATCATGTTGGGGCTTTGAATATGATGAGAGGATTTACAAGCAACAAGGAATTGGTGAGATATGCTGTTATCCGATTTGCTATTTCCTTCTTAACATTACAAAGTGTGTATCATCAAAAACATAACCTGAGAAACATGGTTACCTCAGAGAAATGGGTGATAAGCAAATGGGCAAAAGAAGCGAAAGACAAGAGGGCCAGTGATATCATCTCAATGTTGTCCTTTTGGAATCTTGTAGTTTATATATTAAAGGTAATGGGCTCTTTTGTTCGAATTATTCGGTTGACGGATAATGAAAATAAGCCTGCAATGTGATATATTTATGAGGCTATGGATAGAGTAAAGTAGACGATTCAAAAGTCTTTTAATTAAAATAAAAAAATATAATAAAATATTTATAATCATTGATGAAAGATGGAATTGGTAGCTTTATCATCTCTTACAAGCAACAGGATATTATTTGAACCCAGAATTCTTTTATAAGACTCAGTGATTTAAAAAGCGTTAGGCGCCAAAAGGCGTTAAGGTCTAAAAACGCCCAAGGTGCTAGGCGCGCTCGCCCAGGCGCTCGCCCGAGCGAAGCGAGACGCTAAAATATAAAAATATATAATATAATTAATATAAATTATTTAAATAAAAAAATATACTATTAAATTAAGAAAATTGGGTACAAAATCACAATATCATATTAATAAAAAGTCTAAAAAATCAAAACAATAAAATTTTACATCAAATCTATTGAGTTGCTCTATACACTTGCCATTTATTCTGAAACTTAACAATAATTTTAAATAAATAAAAATTAATAGCATTAAAATCAAAATAATATATTATTAATCTAATAAATAAAAATACTATTATTAGTATACAGTAAGCAGTATACTGTTAATATATTGTTAACAGTATAGTGAGAAGAGTGTGAGAAGACCAAGGCTGCTGAGGCAACGACAACGATAGCTGGAGCGGGAGCGGCGAGCGGCAACTGCAGCGGGAGCCGCGAGCGATAGCAGGAATGGGAGCGGCGAGCGACGACAGTAGTGACGAGCGACGATTGTGGCAGCGGTGAGAAGTCGGCGAGCAGCGATTGTGGCAGCGGCGACTAGCGACAGTGGCAGTGGCAGTAGAGAGCAGCGAAAGCGGAGAAGAAATCTCGATGGCAAAATCGCGAGTGTTAGGGTTAGGGAAGTCGGGGAAATCGCGAGAGGGAGCCTATCGATGATTTAGTTGGTTCGATTGAACCAACCAACTAAAGCATTGGAGATCGAACCATACGTAAAACATTGGTTCGACCGCCTGGTTTAACCCGGGCGCTCGCCCGAAGCGCCCGGTGCCTGGGCTTGGGCGAACGCCTAGGCGGCGCCTCGTTGAAGCGAGGCGCTTGGACATGAAGCGAGGTGTTCGGGCCTCGCCTCGCCTCGCTCGAGCGCCTAGGCGAGTGCCCGAGCGCCTATTGAAATCACTGATAAGACCACATTCGTTGGGTTTGATAGAGAAGTTCTGAATGGGTTATATCAGTGCATTGTAAGATTAGTTCCAAGCCTTGAGGTGGAAAATAAGATTATTTATGAATTATCTTTTTATAAGAATGCCGATGGTCATTTTGGAATTCCAATGGCAGTTCGATCCAAGACAATTACATCCCCAAGTATTAATAATTTGATATAATTAATTTTATCTATAGTATGTTACTCTGTTATTGCTAATAATAAAATAAATTTTGCAACTGAATAGTGGAGTATATTTGGAAATTCCATCTTGAACTTACAGCAAGTTGCTATCAAAATACTTAGTTTGACATGTAGTGCTGCAGGTTTTGAGCGAAACTAAAGTGTCTCTGAGCATGTAAGAGTATAACAGAATATTTTAATTTATTTTTTTATAGATGTATTAGTATATTTTCAAATTATATGATATGACAGATTTACTCAAAGAGAAGAAATCGGTTCGAGCATCAACGATTACACGATCTTGTTTATTATATAAAGTATAATCGAGCTTTGAAGGCTCATCATGATTTGCGAAATAGAATTGATTCAATCTCATTACAAGACATTGATGATTCAAATGATTGGTTGGTGAGAGAAATGGGTGCGAACTTGCAAGATGCCGAAGACGAGCTTGTATCTGAAGATGATAGCTTGACATCGGGAGATGTGGCAAGAGCTTCAGATGTTGGAGAATTACAAACATATATAAGACAAATGACGAAAAGAAAAATGAGTGCAATAATATGAAGTTCGGATCTTGTTATTGTTGAAGAGAATGAAACATATTTTGATAAAGAAGAAAGACCAGAGGAAGAGAATGAACTTATGAAGATGAATTGTTTGAAAATGAAGACGATGTTAATTATGATGATTAATGACTTTGATGTAAAACTTTATTGTTTTGAATTTTGAGTTTTTTGACATTTTTGCTATTAGGAGGTGGATAATGTGACTTGGTACTTTAGATCTTTTATTTAATGTCATATTTTTATTTAAATAATCATATTTATTAATTATATTATATATTTTTTTATATTTTAATATTTTAAAGTGTTTCTCTTCGCTCAGGTGAGTGCCCAGCGCCTTGGGCGTTTTGGGACCTTGGCACATTTTGATACCTAACGCTTTTTAAATCACTGATTTTGATCCACATATGGGTCATATTGCTGTCACGTTCTATGAGTGGGCCTGTTCGGTGGGGCTATCAACTGGCAATTAAGTTAGCTCCATAACAGGCTCCAGGTTTATGATGACTAAACATAAATTCCAAATCTGATTATTTGGTAAATGGCTTTTCACTTCTTACTTTATTTGTCGATATTTCGGAAACATCAACACTTTCTTCTATAAACATCTTATTTAATTATTAATTATAGTCATTCCTGGTGGTTGTTAAATGTTCGTAAAGAAGGTGCCACCTTCAATTTTTTAGGTTGATTGTTTGACAGATTAGTTTAACCCTGCTGGAATTTAGGTTCATGCATATCCAGCTTTGAGTGACATTATTTAACAGAAGGAACATAGGACACTAAGCTGTCCTTTATTTTTTGGCTGAAAGTTAGTAAATTTATGTAATATCTTTAAGATTATTGATTAGATATCTTTTTGTTGAACTCCAATTTAATTCTTTAACAACTGGCTTTCACAAGGGCCTTTTAGCTGATTGTATTAGGTACTGCCGTGTGCGAGTGCCTAATGTACAAAGCATTCAAGGAAAGCATAAAACCTTTGCATATTTGTGTTTTAAGCTTTAGCATATCGTTGCTGATTGACCAAAAGAGATCACTTGCAACATTGGTCGGACAAGTGATGGTTTACTTTTAGTTGGAGTGTTTGTGCTAAGAAATGATTGCCCTTGCCTGACATAACTGATTGGTATGTACAGATATTTTACTATCGAACATGGCAAACTTGACTTGCTATGTGATCAAAATTGGAAAATTCATTTTTTTTCTTATCATGCCTGTTCTATCCTGTCCCTTATCCTTTTGTGTTTTTTGTATGTCCCATTTATTAACTCTTTATTTAGAGGTGTTCCAACTGCTACTGTCACGCCTTCTGTCTGAAGGAACATATTATTCTCTAGGTTGTGGCCTGTGAAATTACTTCCATGTTTATTGAATGATGTTGATTCTACAACTTCACTGTGGATGTAGGACTTAGTGTAGAGTCACGTGATTTTGCTTATGATTTTGCTGTGGTTATCTAGAGGTATTGCATAAATATGATTCAGACAATTCTTTTATGCCCTCTATTAAGTGAAAAATTTTCTTATTGAGTCCTTGAATAAAATTCTTTATTTTGTTGTTTTAGCCTTATTTCTTGATATGTCTGGCTATTTTGTCTGTGTGGAGACGTATTTATTGCTTAAGTGGATCATAATCTTTTTGTATGTCAACTTTAAGTGCTCAATAGCCATCTGATGGTGCTAATCTGTTTCTCTACTTTGCATTGGCTGGCAGTGGTGCAGAGTACGTTAGGAAGGAAGTGCCACTTCAAGTTCTGCCAGCTAGGCATATGTTGAAGCTCAACTCTCCCTTGAAGTCATTTACAGATATGCAGCATGTACTATTTGAAGAAGAACGATCAGCGTATAAGCAAGCCATATTTGAGAACATGTGGTACGTCTTCTGTTTGATCTATGATTCTTCTACGATCTGTATTTCTAAGTCTATGACGACTCAGCTTTTTGCTTAATTGATTTCGTGTCTCAACCAGCAATGGGAGGATACACCCCCTAAATTATGTTCATCATACATCAACATACCAGGCTTCCCTCTGCAAACTAATGGAGTATTGGTGGGAAGAGATACTGTTATCTTTATGTCCATATGCCATCTTTCATCTTGATTAACTGAAGAAAGATTATCATGCTAATGTTGGTTATCTTGATTCTTGTAGTTTAAACCCTACGATAAGCGCTCTGCAAGGCCGGTTGAAGGAAAATGAAATCAGGGTAAACTGGACTGATATTTTCTTTCAGGATGTCAAAGATGATTGTGCACAGTTTGAAATGAGCTGATTGCGGTCCTTGTTGTATCAGTTAAACATGCTAATGGAGGAGGCGCAATCATTAGAGGTGGAAGCCCGTGGCCGGAAAAGTGGAATGCACTCTGAGTCTCCTCGCAGTCATGTTGCTCGTGGATTTCGGGGCAGTCCTTCTGTGGGGACCCGGGACTTGCATGCTTCAGTGGACTCAGCTGTTACAAGAGCCCCGAGTGGCAGTGCAAGCAGAAGAAAGGCACCTTGATCATATGCCACAAGTGTATTCTGGTCTTGAAGGCACATTTTGTAATGTTTAAACCAGTCAACACTCTCTTCAGTTATGTTTTCCTTGTGTTTTGTCCATCTCAAATCAGCATTATGTGTTAGGCATGTGCATATATCACTTAACATTCTGCACTTAAGCTAACTGTCCAATTGAGAAAAGGGTTCCGGCTCTGCTGCATTGGGTCTTGAAGGTTTTGTTATTAGTTGCATTGCCTTGGCCTGGAATGAAACAATGGAGTGAATAGAATTGTTAAAATATTTTGATAAGCGGCTATTTCCATTTTGGTCTCTATGGTTCTTATGGGAGCAATCTAATTTAAAGTCCTTTATTGATGAGATAACAAATCCAATTCTTTTCTTAAATGTTAAAGATTAGGTTAAAGGATAGGTGCGTTCAGACCCATTTGAATCAAATCATTAAGGGTCGAATCAAACTAATTTGATTTTTTATTTAGTTCGATTAAGGTAAGGTAGGTCTAAATCGAAATCGGTTTGGATCTATCTAATTGAATCAGTTCAAAATTAATTAATTTGATTAATCAATTTTATTATATATATATATATGTTTAAAATGAATTAATTTGATTTGGTGAATCGGTTCGATTTAATTAAATCGAACTAGAATGTCAGTCCAATTTGGTCGAACTATAAGATTTATAAAATTGGGCTCACATCATATGTGGAATGATCGCATTGAAACAGACCCAACTAGAATACGATCTTAGTGATTCTAAGATTTTGAGTTTGGGACCAATTTGATTAATCGATCTGAATCATTTAACGTTATACATACGATAGTAAATTCGATTGAGCTTGATATGTTTAAATAAAAATCAGTTTGGTTTTTAATAGATTAATTGAGCTGAAGAAAACTATTTCTGAATTAAAATTATTTATATTTTTTAAAATTAAATTATTGATGAACCGGTTTGATTCACCGTTTTAAACACGCATGATTAATTTTTAAAATATCATGGCCCTCAGGGCCCGCTTCGTGAAGCCCAAATCCCACGCCCTTTCCAACTCGTAACGGCAAACCCATTCTAACAGCAACCATTTTTAATCTATATGTAGCCGGAAGAACCCGACGGGTGGTGGAGATGGAGATGCAGACGGAGACGGAGATGGAGGTGGAGGAAAAGATTTGTCGTTGTTGGAGGATCCTCGAATTCTACAGCGGCATTGGCGGAATGGTAGGTACTGCGATTCCCGGATCTTATCCGTTTGGTGAATACTTACTGCTACTAGGGTTTCGTTCGTTGTTCTCTCCATAATATAACTTTCGTCAACTGACGAATCGTTTGCGCCGGCTGCAGAGATACTCCCTGCTTCGGGCTGGGATTCGAGGACGCGTGGTGGAAGCGTTCGACATAAACAACATCGCCAACGATGTCTACGAGCACAACTTCGGCCATCGTCCTTTCCAGGTTCCTCGTCTCTCCTTCTCCTTCCCCTCCATCCCTCGTAGTAGTTACTGCTACCAAACTTTTACTACTGCCACCAGTGGACCAGTGGAGTGGAAGATGATGGCATGTTGGAGGCTTTGCATGGTCTTGTGCAATGACAGTTGGAGCTGTACCTACGGAGGTTGACCAATTATCGAACTTGTGACTCCACAAGTGATCTTGTTTTGTCTTTGGATTTTTGTTTCTTCCAATTTTTCCTTTGGATAAACGATGTGCTAATTCTTTTCATTGTAGTGTCCACCGTGATTTATATCTAGTCTCACAAGTGAGAAATGATGACAAGTTTGAATGATAAGAACTCATGTATCCTGGAAGTTTGGAGATTGCAGATGGTTCACAACTGGAAAAATGTGTTCTAGAATTTTAAAATATTTTTCTGGACTAAAAATTGGTCTTGGAAATAAATTAATTTGGTAAAATATGTGATGGTTTGGTGTTATATTAGATGCAGGAGATCAGTTTCTTTTTTTTATTTTTAGCTATGGGGTTTCCTTTGTATTGTTTAAACAAGTCTTTTAATAGCGTTAGAGTTCAATCTTCAAAATCCAAACTAAATTGATATAAAAGAGCAACTCTGATGTCCAAGGTCTTGGTGAAACCTCATCATCCTTAGATGCTGAAAGCAACAACTGGTTTCATTAATGATAAACCGATCCGAGATGTTATTGCTTTTATTTTTAAAATCTTTTTTTGACACTACATTTTATCAACAAAAAAAACACCAATTTTCTTTTCATTTGGTTGAAAGAAAGGATACAAGACAACAACTACTTCAAAATTTTCCAAGTATGATGAATAACACTGTTTACAATTTAGAACTTCAGATGTGCTATTCATCAATATTGTTAGATAATGTGTCAATGCAATCATAAATTTTCTATCCAATAAAAAGACTGTCACAGTTTTGTAAGGCACATATAGTTGCACAATGCATTAAATAATCTTCTTTTTAATGTGATTTAGACATTATTGCGAAGAAAAACATTGTATACATGTGATATTGGAGATTATATAGTGGCACAAATCAGAAGTGACATGCTGGAAAACTTAGAATATGCTTTTGCTTCCTTAAGTTTGGCCCATCAGTACCATGCCGACCAACAAAATTCAAACAACACATGCCCTATTTATATGGACATCAACAATTATAAATAGTTATATCGATATATTTGATTACACTACATAGATGCATGTTCAAATGGTTTGGATGTTTTTCAATTAGACAATCATTACCCTGGGCCTTTGCCTGAAATATGTAATAGGAAAAATATCTAGATAGTTTGAGTGGCAGCCTAGAGAGATATATGGAACCCTCTTGGTTCATCATTGATGTATCAGTTATTGCTTTGTCGCAGGGAAACATTCAAATTTTAACTCCTCTTGATTTAGACAAGTATGAGGCACATGCATGGCTCCTTTCTCCTCCATGTCAACCATACACTAGACAAGGTTGTGTTTTAAAACTATTTGATGTTGCTTTTTGTATTCAGATTTCTTTGCCTTTACATTAAATTTGTGTTTTTTTTTCTAGGTCTGCAGAAAGACTCAGCTGATGCTCGAGCATTGTCTTTCATCAAGATCCTTGAGAATATGTCACATATGATGCAGCCTCCACTGATGTTGTTTGTGGAGAATGTTGTTGGGTTTGAGGTTTCTATTCAACTAGTTATGATTCCGTATCCATATCTATTGGATCTTATTGAGTAGAATTCTTACCTTCTGTTGCAGACTTCCAATACCCACAAGCATATGATGGAAGTGTTGGCTGGAATTGGTTTTGTCACACAGGAATATATTTTGAGCCCATTGCAGTTTGGAGTACCATATTCTAGGCCTCGGTACTTTTGCTTGGTATGCCCATTCAATATTGATTACTTTTGTTTGTTGTTGAACTTGGGCATGAAAAGGAATTTCGCAAAGTTTTTTGCTTTAGTTATGAAGCATCATAATGTGTTTACAATTGTCTCATGTACTAATTAATCGATTTATGATAATGTAAATAATGATGAGTTATATTACTAGATTGGTTTGGTGATTGTCACCTTGGCTTCTAGGATGCTTCCATGGTCTTGAGGTTGCCAAAAGTCCAAGGCATTATGGGTGTCAGGTTCCCTTGAAGTGCTAGTCACTCACCTAGGCGCTTGCCTGAGCAAAGCTATGCACTTCCATTACAAATATTATGAAAATATATTTAAGGTAAATAATAACTTCAACTAAAATGAATTTTATATCATATTACCTATGCAAGATAATTATTATCAAAACATCATATATATATATATATATATATATATATATATATATACATACACACACATATGTTTGTATGTATGTATGTATGTATGAGCACTCAATCAATAAAATAATAAATTAATTTTGATATCTAAATACAAAAAAATAAACATATATTACTACAAGAGTTTTAATGGTCATCAAGGTCTACTACATCATCATTGACATTAGCTTTGTTCTCGTTTTCACCACTTGATATACATCCTTCAAATCTTTTCTTCTACTTCGTCCTAATCAACTTCGTCCTTTTCAAACTTTAAGATTCTTGAACATGGTGTTTTTATACTTGTTCTTAGTCTTGTTTATCATTTTATTGTCTAGTGAATGTCTTTGCTTCTCCAAATACATATGCCCTTACTGCAGCACCCCATAGCAAAATGTGATAATTAAAAAATACCAAATCTTCCTTTGCATTTGATAATGTTAACACCATCTCTCAACCCATTCGTTTGGAATTAAGATCAACACTATTCTGCAAATCATGATGAGCTTTGATTGCTTGATTGTTTTAATATATACCAGATTTTGACATGGTATGCATTCTTTCTCTTTGTATAATTTGCTGCGATAATTCAATAACTAGTTAGTGCCTATGGAATAGATGACAAAGTGAGGGTCATGCACCGATGGTGGGTGCAAAACTTAAGGGCTGGAATCTCATCCTAGACCCAAGCTAGCATCTCATCAGCCAATACCTCAATTGAGGTGCATGCCTAGGCAGTGTCTTGTTGAAGTCGCCTCATCTGAGTGCCTAGTCAAGCACCCGAATGCCTTTCTAAAGCACTGCATAATTTTTTTAAAAAAGACTGCTGAAATACCTTTGAGTATATTTATACAAATTCTTATTTTAGTATCATGTCACCTAGAAATCATTTCTTCATGAAACATATATCTGTTAATTTGCGTAATTACTCATGGAAAGCATAATAGGAGCACTGGCATCATGAATCGATTTCTTTTGCACATAGTGTAAACAATCTTTTCTAAAATGCTTGTCACTTTGCAGGCAAAGAGAAAACCTTTGTCTTTTCGAAACCCATCCTGCAATAACTTAATACTACGGACACCCTCTCCCTTCATGCCATCAAAAAATAACCAGTCAACAGATGGGTCTGATGGCAATGACGGAAATCAGGAAGAATTCAATAGTTCTTGTGAGCCTATTATAAACTTTTTAGAGACACATTTTCTTACAGGAAATCAGCAAGAATACATGACATTTAGGTTTGGCACAGAGGTTGTTTCCTCCCCAGCTGATGGTAAATACATGATTGATAAAATTTCAACCAGTACTAGTACACCTAAACACTTGGCAGACATTGATAATGATAAAATTTTTGAAGATGGAGGTGGGACATACAAGAATGCTTGGGACATATACTCTGTTGCACCAAGTTTGATTGAGAGGTGGGGAAATGCCATGGGTATCCTTGTATTGTTCTCTTGTATTATAATTCTGTCTTGTCAAATAGTAGGTTTATGAGTTTGCTTGAATACTGTTATTTGTGTCCATTCCTTGACCAAGATAAAGATGTAGTCTTCCCTGAGTCCAGGCGCTGCTGTTGTTTTACCAAGAGTTACTATCGTTATGTAAAGGGTACAGGCTCCTTATTGGCTACTTCTGGGGTATCAACTCTTCTCTCCTTTTGCTTTCTTTCCTTTGGCATTCACACAACTGTTTAGTTGTTTTTAGCAAACTTTTTCTGCAAAATTTCTTTCAAATAATTTTTTTTTGTTTGTAATAGGACATTAACTCAAGACTTGAAGCTCCCTCCTTGATAGAGCTTGGCCTTCGGTTCTTTACACCCCGAGAGGTATGCATTTGATATTGTGATCAATGTCTAATTAACTTGTATATGTGACCTAAAAATTTTCAACTGTTTTCAGGTTGCTAATTTGCATTCTTTTCCAGCGGAATTCCACTTTCCGTCACATACAAGCCTAAGGCAACGGTGAGTTGTTTTATAGTCCAGTTTACAAGTAACTTCAGATTGACAGTTGTGTTCTTAAGAGATTAAGCTGCAGTTGAAGTTGACTGAGATTCTGGAAAGTGTTATGTGGTCTTTTTGTTACACTTAAAGATCATGGATTATTGTTTAAGGTTACCTTAGGCTTAAAATCAATTAAATTGTGCAGTGCAAGCTTGTAGTGTTGCTTTTGCTACCATTTGCTAGTGAACAATCAAAACAGAATAATGGGATATCATGGCAATGTTAGAGTTCCATATTGTTTTTCAGCCACTTGGGCCTATGTGTCATCTGTTCCAGGTTGGTTACTAATTTTCATTTGCCTCATCATGTAGATTTTAGAATGGATGTTTTCATGTCATATAGTACTGCTTTTTGTCCAAATCAAAAGAACATACTCTCATTTCCATATTTAATTTATAATATATTTTGTTGCTTGTTTTGTTTCTGTACCTTGAAATAGTAGCAGCAACAACAATAACAATAACAACAAATTGTAATGTCCTAGTTATTTGGGATCTGCTGGTTAAGGTTCATGTTAATGGTATTTGACATAGTCTTATATTGGCTGTCAATGGCTTAATGCAATTCTCCACCTTTTTCATATGAGCTTGGGACTGGCATTGATAGTGTTTGTACCATAATAGCTTTTAGGGAGTTAAAACACTGCTTCATTTTCGAAGATGTTTATTTTGTATTCTGAAATCCCTTAATTGTCTATTTAGGGATGCAGACTTATGAATTCTTTTGTAGATTATGTTTGGTTACTAATGCTATGTAAGCTTTTAGTTTTTCTCCATTTGTACATCTGGGTTTTCATATTTGCAGACTTATGAATTCTTTTGTAGTTTATGTTTGGTTACTAATGCTATATAATCTTTTATTTTCTTTTTCCATTCATACATCTGGGTTTTGATATAAACCATCCTTTCATCCATTTGTTTTGTGTGAACTGGTTTAGGGAAATTTTGTAAACATGTGTCTACAGCTTAATCTATGAAAGAAGTGGTTTTAGGGGGGAATTTTCAAGTGAATTTGTTGGAACAGAAGAATGTTCTGATTAATGGCATAAAGATACCTGTTCATTTCTTGGCTTATTAATGCAGATTTATATGCTACTTATCTGCAGGTACGCCTTGTTGGGGAACAGTATGAGTGTTGCAGTCGTGGCTCCCTTGCTTCAGTACCTTTTCAGTGAATCTACAACATCGAAGATACCCACATTATCAAAAGATATTTGCTGAAAAATTTTGGAGTGGACCTTGCTATGAAAATTCTCATCTCAAATGACAAAGGTACTAGATTTAATCCATTGTTTATTAGCATGTCTTTCTTTTTTTGTTTGATATTCCTAAAGTGATGCTTACCAAGTTGTGTGTTACTCTACTGGGTGTTTTACTCTTATCTGATAGATCATTAGCTGCATGCTTTTATTTGATGTGATATGTCATGCTCCTGAATAGTGAATGATAGCAGGTGCAAGCATCTTTGTAATGCTATTAATATTTGATGGATATTTAACAGAATCTGCAAGTGAGCACTTGCCCTTTTGTGATCGGAATTTCTGCGGTTTGAGAGACAGCTGGTTTGCGGTGTCCACTAGTTTTGCACATTTATCGGATTGGGCGAACTTGTTATACTCGGTTGAGGTAGAATTTCGATGATGTATACAACACAGATTTCATAGTGCCTATGAGATTTGTGGACCTATTTTTCCTTGATATATCTCTGGATCCTACTCATCCTCCTGCTTTCTCTATGTCAAGATATTGCAGTTCGTGATGATCCTAGTTTATGATATTGTGGATATATCAAACTTGCAGACGCTAAGTCCAAAACCTTTTTAGACAAGGGTCAATGTCTCGATATTTTTCTCAATGTTGTGATATTATAATTTTATTCAATCTTTCACTAATATGATTTCGTATTATCTTCTCTTGTTAGCTTTGAAATCTAGTACATTGGCATATCTTATGTACTGGGCCATTATTGTCGTATGCTTGTAAATGCTGGATCGAGTGTGGCATGTGGATATGATTGCCTTGTATTGTTGGTTCCTGACTTTGAATGTTTGAGTCTTTAAATTATTCAATGTTATGAACTGTGAGAACATGCATGAATCTGGAAAAATCTTTCCTCGAAACTTACAGGTTACATGAAATGTGCGTCTCTTGACAAGATGATGGATCTCGTGTCATTGTGAGTGATCCTTCTCGACTGCAAATGTTACATAAGAAATTTCATGTTCAACATAATGTAGTTTCTTCTTTTTGATTGATTTAAACGGGTTCCCCTTTTTTGTATTGTATACCTACGAGATTATGGCATGCAACTCATGTTATGTCTATGCTTTATACTGGACATTCAATTTAACTTTATTGTTAAGATAATATAACATCTAGCAAAAGCAGCCACACGTCCAACACATCGATTCGTACTATAACCTGTAAAAGGGTAGCTATGTAGCCACTTCGCATATGACACTTCAAGCAAGAGAATTTGTCGAGAACCATTTTTGTGTTTGCCATTTATTCAGTAAGAAACTCCTCACTAAGATGAATTTGTTCTTTGAGATGAATCTGTTTTTGCCATTTCGAGCAAGCTTCTTAATCAGTAAGAAACTCCTTACTAAGAAGAATTTGTTTTTGCCGTTTTTTTTCAGGGCCAATTCAGAACCAAATTTGAAAACCTGGTTAAGCTCCAAAAGAAGTACTGAGAACATGTTAATAAATGTGGAATTTCACAAATATTTGGTCTCATCATATCATGTTCTCAAATCACATATAAATTACATCGATGCTACATGCTTTGTTCATTTGAAGTTGTTGGTGATACATGATATGAGATTCCCTCACTTAAATATTTAGACTCCGTTCACAAATTATATATAATTTAAATCGACTACATAAAAGATGGATCAAGTTGTTGTCATTGTTTATAATTTTTTTTTAAATTAGACTAAATGTTGAATCTTAAATTTTGATAATAAAATTAATTGATGAGTTTATGAGACTAATATGCTTTCGAGATTGGTTATATAGAAAAATACTTCGATCATAGAATCAAACTACTTAAGAGCTAACTATTGATTAGGAGAGTCAAACATTGTATTAAAAAATTATCGTATTAAAAATTGAACATCGAGTTGGAGGGTTGGTCGACATGTTGGAGATCGGATTTTGTGCTAATGGTTCGAATATCGTGCAGGAAGGATTGGATATTGCATCGAAAGATTGACTGTAATGGGAAAGTCGATATGCTAGTGAAATTGGTGATATACCGAAGGAAAGGATGATGTGTTAAAAGTTTAGATGAAGTGTTGGAAGATTAGATGATATTCCAAAAGAGCGTACCACATGTTGAAAGTTTTGTAAATGTGCCGGATGTGTGGTTGATTTGTCAAGGTCTTAATTGAGATCATTTTGGATCAATTTAAGTTGGTATTGGGCTGAAAGAAAGCTCACTTGTTAAGAAAAATATTGGGCTTGAAGTCGGGCTAAATTAGGCCCATTAGAAGGCAAAACAAGTGACCTAAACTAGGCTTGGGTGGTGGTACTACTAGGCCAAAGCGGTGGTATCGTCTAAGTCAATCGATAAGCACTATTTATGCTTGTCAACTTTTCCAATGATAGTACCACCTATGACGGTAGTAGTGTTGAATCCCGGATTTTGATAATGAAATCAATTGATGAATTTATAGACTAATATACTTTTGAGATAAGTGATGCAAGAAATACTTTGATGACGGACTCAAACCATTAAAGGGCAAATTATCGAAGTAAGAGAATTAGACATTGTGTTGAGAAAAGTATCATGTCGGGAATTGGATGTCGAGCCGGAGGATTAGTTGATGTGCTAAAGATTGGATTTCGTACAATAAGATTGGGCATCGTGTTGGAAAGATCGGGTATTGCACCTAAAAATCGAATGCCGTGAGAAAGTCGACATACTAATAGATTGAGTGATATGTTGAAGAAAATGACGATGTGCCGGAGGTTTAGACGAAGTGCTGGAAGATCAGACGACATGTTGGAATGGTGTATAACGTGCTGAAAGTTTCATAATTGTGTAGGATATGTGGTTGGATTATTAAAGTCTTGATTGAGATTTTTTTATCAAATTGAGTTGGTATTGGGCTGAAACCATGCCAACTTGTGAAGAAACCCATTGGACTTGAACTATGACCGAATTAGGCCTATTAGAAGGTCAAATCGATGATCTAAAGCAAGCCTAGGTAGTGGTACCGCCAGGCCTAGGCGGTAGTAACACTTGAGTCAATCGAAAAGCACTATTATGCTTTTTCGATAGTTTCGATGATAGTATCGCCCAGGCCAATGGTGGTACCACTAGAGCTTGGATTCTTGGCCCCATGATGATAGTAGTATCATTCAGTGCTGACAATAGTATCGTCAGTACCCCGAAATTTTAGGGATTTAAATTTTTGGCTCCATTCTTGAAGCTTTTTTGGATCTATAAATACCCTACTCATGCTTGCTTGATGGAGCATTAATTCTTCAGTATAAAAGTGTTATAAACTCTCTCTTTGAGCATTGTTTGAGTCTCTTCCTTCTTCTTGAGTTCAAAGATGATTCTAAGTTGTAAGAGGTGAGATCTCTTGTAAAAGAGTGAGTGTGGAGGTTCTCTCCTAAGCCTACTAAAAGGAGAAGAGTTGTAACAAGGGTAGTTGATGTTTGCCCATTGGAAAGAAGATTGGTAGTGAAAGCCGATGGCCTCAAGGGAAGAGGAATTGAGAGTGGACGTAGGTCGGGATGATCGAACCATTATAGATCGATTTGCATTCTTCTCTTTCCTTGATTTGCTGCTATTGCTTACTAATTTACTTTACTTGCAACCTTTACTTGCACTTTTGGTTAATCGTATATTTTATATGGATATCGATAAACTTTAAAATCGGTTAAAATTGCTATAACATTAATTCACCCCCACCCCCACACCCCTCTTAGTGTCATTATGATCTTAACAATTAGTATCAGAGCGTACTTCTCTCAATTAGATTAACACTCAAGAGAGATCTAATGACTTTTTCTAGCAATCAAGAGGGTCAAGAGAGAGAGAGAGAAGAGAGAGAGAGAGAGAGTATGTGTGTGTGTCTGTGTAGAGAGAGAGAGAGGCCACCCTTCAGCGTGAGCTGATAGGTTCCTTTTTATACCTGATCCCTTGGCCTTCTTACTGGCTGGCTTAGGATAAGATTAGGTGAACCACTTGATCATTCTCTGATCTTGATAAGGTAGGACGGTTATTGCTAGTGGGGTACATCTGGATGCATTACGGTGTCATCTTGGGGCTAGTGACTAGGAGCCCTGCTTAGGTGTCGGTTTCAGTGGCAAATGAGCTGGCATGGGGGCAAAATGGTCCCTATCATTTGCCCCCTCTCGGAAAGACATCCTTCGGGGCCTTTTTTCGAAGGGCACACTTGTGTGCTCTTCTATCTGATGCATGCTCTGATGGAACTCTGTTGGCTGGGGTGTTTGGAATGTGTTGGTCTGATTGAGGTATAGTCCTAGGGTCTTCATGTCGAGTGCATGGCTCAGGAGCGTATAAGCTTGGCCTAGGTGCATCCCTTAGGTCTTTTCGCTAAGGTGCATGGCTAGGGAGCATGTAAGCTCGGCCTAGGTGCATCCCTCAGGTCTTTTCACTAAGGTATATCCCTTAGGAGCATGTAGCCCTCAGGGCTTCATGTTGAGGTGCATGTCTCGGGCGTGAGTCCTTTTTAACTCTTACTCATCTAAAGTGCCACCATCAGGTCTTTATGCTGATGTGCACGACTAGGGAGCACGTAGGGTCGGCTTAGGTGTAGGCCTCGGGACTTCTTACTAAGGTGCACAACTAGGGAGCGCATAGGCTTGGCCTAGGTGTAGGCCTCAGGGCTTCTCAATGAGGTGCACAACTAGGGAGCATGTAAGCTCGGCCTAGGTGCAGCCCTCGAGGCCTCACGCTGAGGTGCATGGCTCAGGAGCGAATCATTTTTAACTCTTACTCATCTAAGGTGCCACCCTCGGGTCTTCATACTAAGGTGCACAGCTAGGGAGCACGTAGGCTTGGCCTAGGTGCAGGCCTCGGGTTCTTATGCTGAGTGCACATCTAGGGAGCATGTAAGCTCAATCTAGGTGCAACCATTGGGTCTTCATACTGAGGTGCATGGCTAGGGAGCTTGTAGGCTTGGCTTAGGTGTAGCCCTCAGGGCTTCACACCGAGATGTATAGCTCAGGAGCAAGTCCCTTTTAACTCTTACTCATCCGAGGTGCCACCCTCGAGTCTTCATGCCAAGGTGCACAGCTAGGGAGTGTGTAGACTCGGCCTAAGTGCAAGCCTTAGGTCTTTATACTAAGTGCATGACTAAGGAGCATATAAGCTTGGCCTAGGTGCAACCCTCGGGTCTTCATGCCGAGATGCACGGCTAGGGAGTGCGTAGACTCGGCCTAGGTGCAGGCCTCAGGTCTTCATGCCGAGTGCATGAGAGCGTATAAGCTCGATCTAGGTGCAACCCTCGGGTCTTCATGCCGAGGTGCATGGCTAGGGAGCATGTAGGCTCGGTCTAGATGCAGCCCTTGGGGCTTCACGCCGAGGTGCATGGCTCGGGAGCGAATCCTTTTTAACTTTTACTCATCCAAGATGTCACCCTCAGGTCTTCATGCCCAGGTGCATGGCTTGGGGGTGTATAAGCTCGGCCTAGGTGCACCCCTCAAGTAGCTGAGCTTGGCTACATTGAGATAGAGAACTGGGCCCTGTAAGAAAATCTAGGGGCGACATCACATGTGTAGCGAAAAAATAGAAAATAAAAATCCCCAAATTTCTCATAAATTATGTTC